GAAAAGTAACTCAGCCCAACTCAGACAACTTACTAGGGTTATATTCGTAAAAATGTCTTCTGTTTTTTTGTTTGGTCACAGAGGACTATATTGTAATTTCATAGCCCTTTTAGGTTAGATTTGCATTTGATTCAAGTTGGGGTCTAGTATTGGGGTTAAAACCAAGTTGTGGGTTAGTTTTGGCAAAAACCCCAATATTTTATAAGGATATAAAAGTCTTTATAGAAGAAAACAAGAAGACAAAAATACCTATTTCTACACAAATCAGTAGTAATTTAGCCAAACATAAAGGATGTATCAGCAAATAAACAAGACTACAAAGTTTAAATACCCTCAAAGTTTGAGAAAATTACCGGAAAAACCAGAGAAGGCATATAAACTGTGTGATAGAGAGAGAGAGAGAGAGAGAGAGAGGTGTTTCCCTCACAAACGAAGACGACGACAGGTTTCATTCAGTCAAACGAGTCAGTTTTCCCAGACGTCAGCACTTTCACTCTCTCCCTCTTCCTTCTCCGATCTGTTCTCCGGTGAGTGTTTTCCGACACTCTTACCTCTTTAAGTCTCACTATCTAAGCTCGCTTCTTGTCATGAATTTCGTTTCAAAAACCCTTTTTTTTTGGCGTTTTTTTGGTTCGCATGTCTCAATGTATGAGTTAGAATTGTTGCAAAACTGCTTTGTTTGGTTTTTCCTGTCTTTGATTTCCTGTCTGAACTCGAATTGGGCTCATGTGTAGGTTTAAAGCTGAGTTTTTTCCATCACTATGAGCAACAAAGACGAGGCTCTTAGAGCCAAAGGGTTAGCAGAAGACTGGATGAGTAAATCAGACTTCACCACTGCTCGTAGAGTCGCTGTCAAGGCTCAGAAGATGGACGAGACCTTAGAGAACATCTCCCACATGATTATGGTCTGTGATGTTCATATCGCAGCACAGGAAAAATCTGGAGACGAGACTGATTGGTACAAGATACTCCAAGTGGAGCTTAATGCAGATGAAAACACCATCAAGAAACAGTATAGGAAGTTTGCTCTTCATCTCCATCCGGATAAGAACAAGCTCCCTGGCGCTGAAGCTGCTTTCAAGATGATTGGGGAAGCTCAGAGGGTTCTTTTGGATAAGGACAAGAGGAGGCTTCATGATATGAAACGGAAGCCTTTTAAGAGGCATGCAGCGCCAGTACCTTCTTATCAGCAACCTCAACATGCTCCTCCTCCTCCGCAGCAGCCTAGGGGGTTTTACACTGCGCCTGTTTTTCAGAGTAATGTTAATGTTAATGCGGCGAGGAATAGCTTCACTGCGGCGGGGTTGAGACCTGAGAGCCAGCCGAAACCTCAAGCTCAGCCAAGTGGTTTTGGTGAAAGCAGGACCTTTTGGACCTTTTGCGCGTTTTGTCACAGAAGGCATGAGTGTGTGAAGGAGTTTCTACACAAGCAAGTGATGTGTCCGAGCTGTGGCAAGCAGTCCGTTGCTTTTCAAACAGCTTTCCAGGCTCAACCAGCTCAACCAGCTCAGCCGACTTTCTCTTTCTACCAACAGAGCAAGGCTCCAACTCAAGAGGCAGTGCATAAGCAGCCGGAGAGTTCTGTTAGAGTTTCCCCAAGGAAGGAGGCTTCTAAAGCAAAAAGCTCGGGGAGTTCTGCTGAACAGCACATCAATGGAAATGGAAAGAGGAAGAAGATAGTGGAATCTTCTAGCGAGAGTAGCTATGATTGGGAAGAAGTTGCAGCTGGTGGACAGCATTCTCGGAGGTCTGTCCGTAGCAAGCAGAAGGTTTCATATGAAGAGAATGTATGTGATGGTGGCAAGAAAGAAGAAAACAATCTGTTTGCAAAAGCCGTACCTAATGGGAAAAACAGGAAGGAGAAGGCAAAAGATGATCAAGTGGGAAGCTCTCGTAGTTCAGGGAGTTCATCAGACGTAGAGATTCTGGAGTGTGCTGATCCTGACTTCACAAACTTTGAGAAGCTGAGAGAAGAGAGCTGTTTTAAAGCTGGCCAGGTATGGGCAATGTATGATGACATGGGTAAAATGCCTCGATATTATGCCAATATCAGGAAAGTCATAAGGGAACCTAAGTTCATGCTCAAGATAACATGGTTAGAGCACAAACAAGATGATGAGAGATCAAAAGCGTGGTTTCGCAGAAAACTGCCTGTATCTGTTGGTAAGTACCAACTCGGTGGAGATGACAACATAAGTGACACTCCATCCTTCTCTCACCTGATCCATTGCAGAGTAAGAGGCATCAAAGACATTGTTTGTGTATATCCAAGGATCGGAGAAACATGGGCTTTGTTCAAGAATTGGGACATCAATTGGCTCTCTCCTAGTCGGCGTCATGAGTATAAGTATGAGTTCGTTGAGGTCTTGTCAGAATATGCTGAAGGGGTACCAATAACGGTTGCGTTTTTGCGTAAAGTAAAAGGATTTGCAAGTGTGTTTCGTCGAGTTACTGCGGCTGGTGGTGTTAGATCAAACACGTTTCAGATTCCTCCTCATGAGATGCTTAGGTTCTCTCACAGCATCCCTTCAGCTAAGTTGACAGGGAAAGAGAGGAGTGGTGTTCCTGTTGGTTCTTATGAGCTTGATACAGCTGCATTACCACAAATGATAGAAGAATGTGAAGAGGAAGCTGTTCCTGTTCAAGCTGCCAAGTCATCAAACCAAGCTCGCCATCATCGCTCTCCTCCTTCATCAGAGCCAGACTGTATCGTCATACCTAATTACGAGTTCCATGACTTCAGCGGGGAAAGATCAGAGGGGAAGTTTACAGTTGGTCAGATATGGTCATTGAACTGTAAAGAAGAAGGGTTGCCTAAGTACTACGCCAAGATTCAGAAAGTGGAATGGAGACCAGTGTTTAAACTGCAGATAAATAAGCTAGAGCTGGAATCACTTCCTGCCAATGCTACACAGTGGAGAGACAAAAGAATGCCAGTGACCTGTGGAAACTTCACCTTGAAAGAAGGCCAGAGAGAGACTCTCACTCAGGTGACTAGTTTTTCACATGAGATAAAGGCACATGAGAGTAGTAAAAACAAGTACACTATTCTCCCCAAGACTGGTGATATTTGGGCAATGTACAAGAACTGGAGTGATGCAATCAACGTGGGAAGCTTGAAGAAATGTGCTTATGATGTTGTTGAAGTTCTTGACGATGATGAGAGCCACATTGAGGTTATGATGTTGGAAAGGGTGGATGGGTTTACTTCGGTGTTCAAGGAAAAAGTGGAAGGAGGCATGGATGTGAGGAAAATGATCCCGAGGTCTGAAGTGTTGAGGTTTTCACACTACGTTCCTCGTTTCAGACTTACTGGTGAAAAGGGTGGAGCACTCAGAGGCTATGTGGAGCTGGATTCAACTGCTTTGTCCCGTAACTTGCTCAGAGCTTAGACTATGTTCAGTCGGTTGGTAGTAGTAATGGACTTCGCATTTTGTGCAGTCTCTAGCTTTTATGTTTTAGATTTCAGACGTTAACTTGCATCGGATCTGTCTTTTGACTCTAGTTTTAGTCAATCTGGTGAAATATCGTTTTAGCTTATTTGTTCTTCTTACTGTCTTTTATTTTCACTTCTGAAACAGATCATCAACTTGACGTGGTCTTAACTTGGTTGACAATCTGTTAAGGTTAGTAAGTTGGAACAAAATAATTAGCGACAATATTATATTTGAACAACAAGGGCGTTTGGTCTAGTGGTATGATTCTCGCTTTGGGTGCGAGAGGTCCCGAGTTCGATTCTCGGAACGCCCCTTTTTTAACAAATGTTACGCTTGTGAGTTGTGACATTTTTATCAAGTCTGAATAAAAAAGAAACAACATAACTTTGCCCATTTGTAAAAAGTATGATATCATCATTCACTTGGTGTAATCTTCACATACATTGTAATTCCACAAAACTTTGCTCTCTTCATTTAAAACGTAGAAAGAATCCATACATATCTACAGGTCTTACTGTGCCAAATGGATCTTTCTACTCAGCAATTTTCCTTTTCATATACAAACTTATAAGGGAGAACATTAAGGAACTAAAAAAAGGAAGAGACTTTGTTTATACTAAGTTCCTGTTCTGTGGAACTTGCACAAGCCGAGAGAAGAAAAGCAAACGCACAGCAGGTTTAAGCACATTGCATCCCCAAACCCAAGCATCACAGTTGAGTAGATTATTGGCATACCAAACTGAAACAAAGATGTTTTTTTACATGAGAATATTTTTCCAATGCATGTCTGAGATTAGGTGTTTTACGTATTTCACATCTTATCTAAAATATGGTCTAGTGTTACTTACTGTAACATGTAGCAGATGAACAAGTCCACTAGTGCAAACCATAAATTTCTGATAGCTGCAAGTTTGGGATAGTTACGATTTACATTTTACAAGATTGTGCCAGAGATGTTGAAGAAAAGAACTTTGGGAAGTTTCTTAGGGAGTGGCATTGATGCGGAAGAGAACCATAAAGTTCAAAGAAAATGCTTAAGCAAATACCACAACTTGCTTCATTCGAAATGTGATCTTTGTTGCATCATTCTTTGACATCAAGATGTTGATGCATTCTGCTGCATTATTGAGTTTGTTGGATTAAATATACAGTCTGAAGCCTTTTAAACCTCCCACATACTTATTGCATTGTTAAATAACATCAGTAAATTCAAAAAAATGAAAACTATGATCTGAGGTCTTCTTATCCATTCTCCCTTCCTCAAACTGAAAATCACAAAGTCTAAACTTCAAAGTTCTTTGATTTATAAGTGAATTCGAAAGCAAAATGAATCACCAAGAAAAGAAAAGGGAAAATAATTGTGAGAATAGAGTCACTTCATCTTCTGCTCGGTGAAGAGGACATGACGGTTGACACGTGGATCGTACTTGCGGAACTCAAGCTTCTCAAGAAGACCCTTGCTACTCTTCCTCTTCACATAGAAGAATCCTGTTCCCGCAGCCGAGACCAGACGTATGAACATGAACGTCTTCTTCCTCTTGTCCCCCATTCTTTTTACCCTCTCACTTCAATAAACTACCAAACCAAAGAAAAAGATCAACAAATCTTTAATTCAATATTTGCATCATCACACGAACCTAAAAAAATCATAGTGAAATCACAAACATTTCCTAATTTATATAACGAGCATTTATTTTGATAAACCTTAGATCATTCAATACATCGAATGAGCTGTGTTAAAAAGTTTAAGAAAATGAGCTTCTGCGAATCGGAAAATGGAACATTTGAAATTCACAAACTAAAAAATTCAACGGAAAAGAAATTACATGAGATTAAATAAAGAGGTGGAGGAGCAGAATCTTACCTATACGGCGACTAGACGGCGGTGATACAACGGCTGAGACGATTCGGGAGTTAGAAGAACCTTTATAAAAGAGAGAGACAACACTCAGCTATGTTTTATTCGGCCCATTTAAAAATTAATAGGGCTTTTAAGGTAACCTTTTAAATCTTTCAAAAAGGCCCAATGTGGCCCATTATTCTCTTAGCTACTCTCACCTGGTTCTGTTTTCTCTATCTTCTCTCTCTCTTCCCATTTCGCGTTTGTAACTCAGTGGAGAAGAAAGATCCAAATCGATCCATTTCGAAAAGGTATGACGATGATCGTTGTTATCTTCTATTGTAGATTCTTTAATTTTGATTATTTTGGGATTGCGATTAGATTGGATTTGATTTTTGTAACCTCCATTTGAATTCGGTTTTTAGGGATTCGGAAAATTCTGAGCGAATGTCGAGTGCGGTGGACGCGACAGGGAACCCGATCCCTACTTCCGCGGTGTTGACTGCGTCGGCCAAGCATATAGGTTTAAGATGTATGCCTGAGAACGTTGCCTTCCTCAAATGCAAGAAGAACGATCCAAACCCCGAGAAGTGTCTCGACAAGGGTCGTGACGTCACCCGCTGCGTCCTTGGCTTGTACATTTCTCAAACCTCTCTTTGCAAGCATAGTAGTTTTAGGCTGATGCCTTATGTTTGACGAAGATGATGAGTATCAAATGGTTGGTTGATCTAATGTCTTATTCATAGAGTGTAAGCCTCAGATTCAGATATTAAGAACATAGAGCTAAAGTCACGATTTGCATATGGTTTACTATCCAAAAGATTTACCATTATTATGTCGTTGAAATGTTATTCAAGTCCATGGAGTAACCATCTGTTTAACTCATCGTACTGTGCAATGTCTGTAGAACTTGAGCTGTTTTTGTATGTTATAGATCTTACATGCTGACAAGTAGAGACAGATTTATGATCTAAAGCTTATTTTTGATGTTTACTAGTTGTTTACTCTTGTGCAATGATATAATGCGTGCTAGTAATATCAAACCAAGACGGCTTTGAACCCCCATATCAATCATAGTAACCATCATACTCAGGCTGCAGATTGATGATGTTGGTTCTGCATTCAGACATTATATGTGACAGTTGGTAAAGCCATGACTAGTCTTGTTGATGGTTTTGATTATTCATGAATGTTGCTGCAGGTTGAAGGATCTACACCAGAAATGCCAAAAGGAGATGGATGACTATGTTGGGTGTATGTATTACTACACAAACGAGTTTGATCTCTGTAGGAAAGAGCAAGAAGCCTTCGAGAAAGTCTGTCCCTTGAAATGAGAGAATCACAAGTTTATTGTCATGTTTTTTAATTTGTCGTTTCCTAATAAAGCGAACTGTTCGTTTTTCAATGAGCTTTACTCTCTTTCCTCTCTTTTGTTGTTGTCATCATCCTCTTAAAATACATTCGTAGCGAGTTATCAAAGATACTACCAAATGATTCATCGTTTGATGGTCCTTTAATCAAAATACAGAATGTATTTTTATTTTCTCAAGGCAGTGAAACATATCCTTAGTAGAACTCCCGAATCTTCTGTCCCACACCACTTGAAAATCAGAAGATCAACGAGTGCAACGAAACACCACGCCTCACTTTGTTAGAGATAAATCTTAAGTTCCCTCTCTTGTCGGGGAAAAGGGGAACGGGAAACAGATCTCGACCTTCGAGGAGAGTATGAATCACCCTCTCTTGTCGGGGAAAAGGGGAACGGGAAACAGATCTCGACCTTCGAGGAGAGTATGAATCACCCTCTCTTGCTTTGCTGTGCCTGTGTAAAAAAAAGGGAATAAATATGATAGATGTTAGATATAGAATGCAAACATGTTATAGTCTATAGATGTTCTTCAAATGGCTTTTGTGCCTAGTTCAGCCGCTTCAACTTCTCTAACTGACTAAAAAACGTTTACTTCATTTACATGTACCTGGAAAGTAACACTGATCTAGGATCTACATTCCACGCTGATGATCAGGCCATAAAACTTGAAAGATCTCTACACTCCAACTGTGGAACAAAAGAACTCCAAATCCTCTCTTTTCTCCAACTTTATGAAATAAAACCTCTGTGTACTCTTGTGTTATATCTCTACTAGCCACAACTTTGAATGAAATCTCCATTTCTCCATATATCTTACTTTCTTTGGGTACGTATACAAGCTTTTTTCATAAAAAAAAAAAGACATCATATAAGTCTTGTGCATATAAACAAATTTGTAAAGCGCTTCATAACATGATGGGTTTTATTTATGAAAGAAGTCTAATAAAATTATTAAAAAAATTGAACTACAAGTAATCCTTTTCGTGAAAACTGCGGTGGCAGCTACATGCGGCACAGGAAAAAGCCTCTTGTGTCCCTTCTTCACCCGCTGCCACGAACTCGCCGCAACCATCCAGTGTGGATCGACCGCCCAAGCGAGCCGTATGGTTTTTCAAACACTTTCCATATTTAACAATTGCAGTTGACAAATCAATCTCCTGAAATTTAGATGGTATTAATACAATCAAATAAACAAGAATAACATCAGATCACTAACCAGTAGTAACCTATAAAGTACACATGGTCGGCTCATTCATGACTCTACTAGATAGACTGTGCGTTGTGATATATGTCTAAGTGATCCAATTCTCTAAGCAGATGTGTTATAAAATAATTTTGAGTGAAAGCCATATGTGTTCTTCAATTTATGCTTTAATATGATGTATTTTTTTTTGTATGCAGATAAAGTGCAACATATAGTATATACCTCTCACTTGCAATAATTTAGAACCGGGCATGTAATTACATCATATGGTAAAATGGTTACACCAAAAAAAAATGGTAAAATGCTTCAAGACAAAGAAATTTAACCATGTTATTAGATTTATCCATAGATTAGCATACCTTTTCAACATACTTCCAATGGAAGCAGAGGTGACAACCACAACCATGGCAAAAGAAAGACTCTGGAGTTCCTTCCTTTCCGCCGGCAAGAAAGTGCCTACAGTGATCTTTTGGCTCTCCACCAATCCTATTAACGCACATTCCATAAGTAACAATTTCTTTCCACTTACTCATTCTGATTGGAATCTTTTTATGATCGGAATGTTTCAAGTTCTCCCTTGATCGCTTGAGGGAAGACATATTATCAATGCTTCGTCTTTAAACAAAAAATCTAGTTTTGAAATGATGAAAAAGTATTGAGTTGATTGTTTCATTAGATGATCTACCGAGTCCTGGTTATTATATGTTTGGGAACACAAACAGGTCAAATGTTATCACTTAGAAATCAGAATATGTTTACCACGTTAATGTCTGAGTTTAAGAATAGCAGTTTATAGAATATGCACCAATCACTAAACCCTTTTTTTTTTAGTGTGGGATAAGTTACTGACGCATGATTAATGCTATTATGCTATGCTTTATTGTTCCCGTTATGAGTTGTAACAACAAAGCCCAAAATTTACGAAATGACTTTAATTTCAAAAATAAAGGACTCGTCCGGGTCATCGAATTTCTAAGAGCTCACATCTACAGCAAAAATATCAATTAAAAACCTTTGGCAAAACCCCACGGAAGACACGAAATGTTCGCCGTTTCACCGTCGTACTTCTCGCCGGTAACCATTTCTTCAGTGAGTTCTATTTTTTCTTAAGCTCCGAGGAAATTCTTGGTGGTGACTGGTGAGGGCAATAACTATAAGAGGATACTGTACGGTAAAGACAGCAGAGACACTCTAAGACGGTATCAATAACACAAAAATAAGGTTTCAGTTTGTAGCACAAAAATGTTATTATGGTATTTGATTAGCTAACCATCCATTATATATCATTGAACTTCTAACGCTGCTTATTAATCAAACTCTTAAGAAGAAGATCAAAAGTTTCCAAACAAACAAAAACATCTAGAACCAGCCATCAAATTTCAGTTGAAAAAATAACACACGTGCTTTTGGAGTCACCTCCATGAAACGTCATTAGTAAAACAACATGATGTTCTTTTTTTTTGTAGTTGAGTATTTGCATTCTGTGACATGTGTTTGGTCAGTTACCAATATTCTTTCTTGTGAAAACTTCGGTGGCAGCCACATGCAGCACAAGAGAGAGCCTCCGGTGTCCCTTCCTCTCCAGCCGCCACAAACTCTCTGCAACCATCCACCCAGGTACCGTCCGTTTGAGGCGAATGGTTCTTTAAGCATTCCGTGTAGCTAACTGTCGAAGTGGATCTATCGTAACTCTGAAATTCACCATGAGTAAGTAAAATAACACAAACAATTCACTAACCTATTAAGGCTTGTATCTATATGCAAATTTTAACTGGAAAAGAGGTTATGATTCTTTGTAGTTGCATTCTTTTTAATATATGCGACAGGAGGATTCTAGACCGGATCCCATACTACTAAAGTACTACTTCTTCAAGTTTGATTTGTTCTAAACCAAACAAACACTAGTATTAGTTAATACCAATGTGATTATGATCTCAACTGATTTAAAAATCTGAAAACAAGTTAAAGTATAATGTATCCACCAGTACCGTTTCAACATCTTTCTCATGAAAACAAACGTGGCAACCGCAGCCACGGCAGAAGAAAGCCTCCGGCGTTCCTTCTTCTCCCCCGGCCAAAAAGTGGGCGCAATAATCTTTTTGTACTCCATCAATCTTATTGACGCACTTTCCATAAGTAATCCTAGTTACTTTCCACTTACTCATTTCCGTCAAATGTTTCTTTGTGATCAGAATCAATTTATCCCTTCTTTTCCTTTTGTTTCTCAAGTTATCTCTATGATTATGTCTCCATGGTTTGCTATGCAACAAAAAATAATTTACTTATTCATATTTTAGTATTTGGTTGACTTATTCATTTTTGTATAGTTGATCCAGAAACTAATAAACAAAATAATCGTGACGACTACTCAAACTCTCGGCTCTTGGCCAAGTCTGTCTAGAATTATTTTATAACTAATGAGTAATGAATACTCGACCTTCTAAAAAGATTTTCAGTAGATTTTGTCCAATTCGAAACCTTCGCTCACAAAAAAGGTATATGTTTTTGTTCTTAAATCCGAAACATCAAAACATGTGATGCATCTAATTAATGCAATAATATGTGCTTAGTAGGGGGGAAAATATTATCGGAGTCATTGTTGCTTATTTAGCCAAGCTTCTTGTTGTTAGCTTTAACTCACCGATGAAGCAAGACTCAGGGAGATTTGACTTTGTAACCCTAATTATTATTATCACATACAGCTGACGTTTATGAAAAAACAACTTTTAGGCTCTGATGATGCAATCATTAGTATAGAAAAAGAAGCAATGGCTTATAATGGATGTTAGAAGATATGATCTTACTTCATTTACCAAAAGGTTAAAGGTATGATCTAATACTATACTCCTCAAAACTAGAGAGTTGAGTAAATTCGTGGAAGTGTATCAAAAGAGTTACAACTTACAAGTGTAGAAGCCATTGAATTACATGTGTAGAGTACATGAGCTCAATCTACATTAATGGGAGATATACACATAATTAATGTATTGAGCATATCATTGACATTCCTAGTCTATCAATTTGTGCATTTAATTTTTTTTTTTTTTATTAAACTACAATGGGCATATACTAGAAAGAAAAATCACATATGAAAACGAACGGATCAGATTCGACAAAAAGAAAACGAATGGAGATGGTTAAAAGTTGAGTCTGATCCGAATGGAGGTGGGTCATCTAGTTGTTCATAATGTCGTCATTTGTTATTGGGCTCGGACAGGCCCACCCAAAATTTCATCGCATATCCTCTAAACACTCACCTTAATCATAATCCGAGAAGGTGAGTCTATCATTGCTATAAAAAGAACGAGACACGTGTCGATATTATGATGGTGATTGACTTGGAATCCCCGTAGACCAAGCTCTACCGTTATTATTGGAGAAGAACAAAAATAAGATGAAAGAGAGAGAGAGAACACTTTTGGTAGCTCACGTCCCAAGTAACACTGATCTGACGTCGTTTTTCCGATAAAGATTGATCAATCAACCTTTGGTGGTTTCCTTAAAACACGCGTAGCTTGCACGCGACGCTATGGTAGATCAGGAAGAGCGTGTTTGTCACGCCCCGACACTCTTACCTGGCTAGCTCACACTCCTTCCCCTTCAACCTCAATCAAAATTTTAACCGGCGCACCGAATATTTTTGTCCCTTCAATTTTGTCTGTTGTCACCTTTTGTAAATTATTAGAAATAACTTTGTATGTTGTTCAGAAAAGAACTTTATATATTTCTGTAAAACAATTCTTTTATAGAAATAACTTTGTATGTTGTTCAATAAAAAAAATTTTATACTTTTTTTTACAGAAAGCAATATAAAACTAACTGTTGTCATATTCCATCATTTTTATTAATTGTGTGTGTAACTGTGTGGTAAAAAAATTATTGTAATCATATCTTTTGTGACATGTGAATGTTTGGCTTCCAAAAAGAAAAAAGTGAATATTTGGCAAAAAAGGAGAAAAGAATATGTGAGTAGACTGTTTATGGCACGATTAGTTAAGTAATCATGATTGTCTCTATTATTTAAATCAGCGAGTTCATACTCATTTCACTAAAAATGTTAATTTTAGCTCCTTTATGTGTTTTAGAAATTACAAAAGAAATAAATAAACTCTGGTAAAATGCATCTTCCCAAAATTTGTGATGACTTGTAGCAAATTATAATATACCTAAAACCTTCAAACCAAAATCACCAACCTCCGTAACAACCGTTGGGTCCTTCACCAATTCATCTGTATTTAATTTTATGATTGAATTTCGAAGAAGAAAAGACTCAGCAGATGTCTTCTCTGTCGCAATCGCAAACGCAACCGCAACCGCCGGCATTGCTTGACGATGATCCTTCCTCCTCTCTATGGGATTGGGGAGATCTCCTTGACTTCGCCGCCGACGAGCCACTCCTCGTCTCTCTAAACTCCGATCAAACTCCCTTCTCTCCCGTCCCGCCTCCGTTGACCGCGACGCAATCCGAAACGTATCCTTCTCCGGATGAATCCGGCGGCTCTGGTTCCGATCGGGTTAGGAAGAGGGATCCGAGGCTGCTTTGTTCCAATTTCGTTGAAGGTTTGCTTCCGTGCTCGTGTCCCGAGCTTGATGAGAAGCTGGAGGAGGTTGAGTTGCCGAAGAAGAAGCGGGTTCGAGGCGGGTCGGGTGTGGCGAGGTGTCAGGTACCGGGTTGTGAAGTTGATATAAGTGAGCTGAAAGGTTATCATAGGAGGCATAGGGTTTGTCTTCCGTGTGCTAACGCTAGCTCCGTTGTTCTTGAGGGAGAGGATAAGAGATACTGTCAACAGTGTGGAAAGTAATCTTTCTTTTTATCGCTTTGAGATTTTTAGTTTTGCAATATTAGTTTTGAGATTTGATTGCTGAGCTGTCTTAATAGAAATCAACACGAAGTCTTCAAGATATGAATTAGAGACTGTTGAGTCTATCATTAGGAAATTAGATAACTAGGGGGGGGGAAAGAGACTGTTGATCTGTTTCAATGATTCCACAGATTATACATAGATCATTAATCAGCGTTTGTTGTTCAGCATAAGCTGAGCTGAACCGGTTCACCTTGATCAGCTATCGAGTAGTCAGTATTATTGATTGGAGACTTTCTTTTTGTTCTGTCGGTGTTGTTTCAGTCCTTAGAGTGAGTTAATCATGTGGCAGGTTTCACGTGCTTCCGGATTTTGACGAGGGAAAACGCAGCTGTCGGAGGAAGTTAGAGCGTCACAACAACAGGAGGAAGAGGAAACCTGTAGATAAAGGAGGAGTTGCTTCAAAACAACAGCAAGTGTTGTCACAGAATGATAACAGTGTAATTGATGTTGATGATGGAAAAGGTATAAGTGAGCACTGAACAACACAAATCATATCAGGATATGGTTTCTTTGTCTTAGTTGTTTAATTTGGATGTTCTTCTGTTGCCAATGTTTGAGTTCTCTTGGAAATTCAAGCTGATTCCGCTTGTCGTTGTTATTAACTTGAAGCAGATAATGCATGCTCTAGTGACCAGAGAGTGGAACAAGAGGCTTCATTGAATTGTGAAGATGTGCATTTTCCCACTCAGGGTACTGTACCGTTTACCCATAGCATCAACGCAGACAATTTTGTCTCTGGTACAGGGTCGGGTGAAGCTCAACCAGATGAAAGAATTAATGACACAAAGTTTGAACTTTCACCTTCCGGTGGTGACAACAAAAGTGCTTACTCAACTATGGTGGGTTTTCTCTTCAGTCACTCTTACATCAAATGATTATTTATGCGTTGTTAACTAATTTTTTCATTTCATTGTAGTGCCCCACAGGTCGGATCTCTTTTAAGCTCTACGATTGGAATCCAGCAGAGTTCCCACGAAGACTACGTCATCAAGTATGATCAAGAATTTTATATTACAGTATAGGGTTCAGAGACTATGTTTAACCCTTTCCAGAATCACAACGAACTAATTTCCGTGTGATCAATCTAATTTGCAGATATTCCAATGGTTGGCCACGATGCCTGTTGAGCTGGAGGGCTATATCCGTCCCGGATGTACAATTTTGACAGTGTTTATAGCAATGCCAGAGATTATGTGGGCGAAGGTACATTCTGTTATCTTATACTCATCATTTTCATTTTCTTGATGTCACATCACTGCATAAATTTGCTTTGTTTCAGTAGGGTGTCTATTTTCTGAAGGTTATTATATTTCTCCATGCACATTTCCTCCTAAGTACCATTACACATTAAAGCTCTTTCGATTTTTTGTGTCCTTGATTTCTTTTGTTTCTGCAAATTGTGCAATATATTTCGAAACTTGTTTCGTGGAGAAAGAAAATAACTTTAATATCTCTTTCCTGCGAGCCCTCTTTTTGATTTTGCGCTGTATTAAGCTTACCCGCTTCGTTTATAAACAGTTGTCTAAAGATCCTGTGGCATATCTGGATGAATTTATTCTTAAACCTGGAAAGATGCTATTTGGAAGAGGCTCGATGACTGTCTATTTGAACAACATGATTTTCCGTCTTATGAAAGGCAAGATGGTCTGCTTTACTTTTTTCTTTGTTTTGTTATTACCCTATCATACTAAGCATAATCTTGTGAGTTAAGATTTTTAAGTGTGAGTTTATTCTTATTTCTTTTGGTTTTGACAGGTGGAACAACTTTAAAAAGAGTAGATGTAAAACTAGAGTCACCGAAACTTCAGTTTGTGTATCCATTATGTTTTGAAGCTGGAAAACCAATTGAACTCGTTGTTTGTGGACTTAATCTTGTGCAACCCAAATGCCGGTATGGGTATCAACCCTTATTTTGATCTATGCTTCGGGATTCTCCCGCATATTTTAGTTCTTTCATATTGCTCAGATGATGAAAGTACAACTCATCACGTGTTGGTTTGGTATCTTGCTATTTGGAGGGGTCGAGACCCGTGAGATGTTCTGAATAGGAAATATTAACATGATAATGGTTTCGTTGCAGGTTTCTTGTGTCTTTTTCTGGGAAGTACCTACCACATAACTATTCTGTTGTGCCTGCACCGGGCCAGGAAGGGAAGCGTTCTTGTAATAACAAGTTGTACAGGATAAACATTGTAAATTCTGACCCTAGTCTATTTGGTCCTGCATTTGTCGAGGTATCCACTTGTTGAAAATATACGTTTTGACTAGTAGCTCCGTTTCTGCAAATAACATGGTCCTCCTGTAACCCTTTTGTAGGTTGAAAATGAATCTGGCTTATCAAATTTCATACCTCTAATAATTGGAGATAAGGCTGTTTGTTCTGAAATGAAACTAATAGAGCAGAAGTTCAATGCGACACTCTTCCCAGAGGAACAAGACGTTGCCGCATGCTGTTCTTTGACTTGCTGTTGCAGGGATTTAAAAGAGAGACAGAGCACCTTTACTGGACTCTTGCTAGATATTGCGTGGTCAGTGAAGGTCCCCTCTTCAGACTGCACAGAGCAAACCGTGAACCGATGTCAGATAAAAAGATACAACAGAGTGTTGAATTATCTGATACAGAGTAACTCCCCATCAATCTTAGGAAGCGTACTGCACAATCTGGAAACTTTGGTGAAGAAAATGAAGCCAGACAGTTTCGTTCACTGTACATGTGACTGCGACGTGAAGCTTCTGCATGAAAATATAAATACAGCCAGAAAGAAGCAAAGCCATGAAGATTCAAAGGTGAATCCAATAACATCAGGCTGCTGTTGTGAGAGCAGTTTCCAGAAGGACATACCATCAAGAGTATTAAACTCCAATCAGGTATTTTTTCACTAATAGCTGATTTCCCTTATTTGATCTAAACTGGACTCAGCACACAAACTTCACTTGTCTTGCATTGGCACATTATGACGATATTAATGTATTATTTGCACAACATTGCATCTTTTTCTTGTTTTTTGCATACTTCTTTTTAGTAAAATCCCCCAATTGTTATATTTACAGGAACCAGAAGCAGGATTTGATTGTAAGGAGAGGATACAAGCGGATTCACCAGATACAGGCAGAAAAGAGACCGATCCTCTTTTAAACAGAGTGGTTGTCATGAACGTAAATGACATAGGAGATTGGCCAAGGAAGCCTTGTATACCAATACAGTCTGCTCAGACATTCAGGTCCCGTCAAACTTTTCTCTTTATCACTACAATTGCTGTCTGTTTTGCGGTCTGTGCGGTTCTCTACCATCCAAACAAGGTCACGCAGCTTGCAGTAGCAATCAGGACTGGATTGGCACACAAACTTTGAGTAAATGGCAGAGACTCTCATTTTAACCGGTGAAGGTGTGTTCATTAAAAAAGCTTGAAGGGAGCTGTGCTTGTCTCCGCTTTCAACAGAGCTCAGCTACAGCTTCCCAGATAGATCTACTTGAGAAAGAGAGAAAATGATTAATGATCAGATGAGTTTACTTGCTCTTTATCTCTGTTCTTGTTCCCAATTTCTTAAAGACTCAGATAGTGATGCTGCAACTGTAATAACAGGGAATGGTCTGGTCAGTGATCTGATTGTTCCTCATCGACTAGTGTTATATATATATAGACTAGGGCTTGCCTTCGCTCACTGTAACATGTTTTTTTTCTTGGACTAAAAAAGGTTCTTGGACAAATCCTAACTTTAATATATTATACATTTTTTCTGCTTCAAGTTATGGCTTGGCCCTTGAAATTTCTCTAAACTCTACTTGGTCAACACTACAAGTTTCAACTTTGACTTTTTTATTATGGTCATGTCAATCCAATACAATAGACTAACAAGTAACATCATTTAGCTTTACCCAATCTGTATAACTAGAAGAAACGAGTATTTGATAAATTGTGAAGGAAAAGCATGTTACATCGAGTTATTTTTCTTTTAAAAAAACTCCCAGTATGAATAGTTATGGTGTTGTCTATTCTTGTTATAGTTTAATTTCTAAAAAACTAAATTTTATAAACTAAAATGATATAATATCGTAATTATAAACTGTTTGGTAAGTTTAAAAACGGTTCTTGGACAAATTCTAATTTTAGTATTATACATTTGTCTGCTTCAAGTTATGGCTTGGCCCTTAAAATTTCTCTAAACACTACTTGGTCAACACTACAAGTTTAGGAAATCGATTTCTGGAAAGATGTAGCCTACCAAGTTATATTTTTTTAGTGTGTTGTGTATTGCATCATAAAACGCAAATGGGAGAAAGAGACAAAAGAGATGAGATTTGGAAACAATCAAGAGACACAAATGCGTCAGTTCTGAGTCATTCTTTGTCGTAAACGACAACATCTTATGATTTTATTTTATTAATTAATCTGGCCAAGAGTTTGATACAGGTCTTTCCATACGTTTCGAACAACTTTAACGTGTTTGAATACACTAATCTTTCTCTGGAAAATATCTAAATGTATATATATGCTAGTCTATTTTGCCTCAAGGAGTTTGCATAACCTTTTGTATATCTATAAGTTCATAACTTGGATCGTTGAGCGCATACAAGATACAATGTCAAACAAAAATGTTTGTAGACTGATGAGTTCATTAGGTAGGTTGGGACTTTTTCTAGTTATATGCGACGCAGTGGCTGCGTTTATTCAGATTTCAACAGAACGTCACCAAAATTCACTTTTACGTCTCAGTGAAGATATTTTTATAACTTCACAAAAGTTTTTTTTCCAATAAATTATTATGTTACGTTTAAGTTTCGTACGTCTATAATATTCCACAGATATTTGTTGTTGCGTTAGGATAAATATCTGCTGAAGACAAATTATGATGAGATTTTTTCTTTATTCCGAACAATTGAGAAGCTTACAATATGACGAGAGTTAGCAATTTGTCTATTACAATATACATAATTTACATAAAAGAAAAGTAGCCAATAAACCCCCACAAAGCTAAGATAAATAATATATCATAGTGGAACATATGGACAAATATAGATGCACGTTGTCATTATCACAATGGGTAGTTTAGATTAGTGAGACCCACACACCCAAACCACATGGTAAAAGCTATCAACATAAAATCCGAAATCGTGATAATTTAGACAGACCATGCGGACCTAGTAGACATGTCTACTAATCCAGAGGAATGGCCAACCTTCATAACAGAGATCGAGAGACTTTAGAGACTACATAAAGATTTTGAGGATATGAGGCTTTCTCATATTCCTTGAAGTAGGAATGGTCGAACGGATGTACTAACTAAAGAGATGAGAAGAAAAAGATTTACTTTTTTTCCATATAAATCAGACCAGACCACATATAGATACTCTTAGAAGAATCAACTCGTACGATCATCACTTGATCTAACGTTAGATTAGCGGTTGATAGAAAAAAAACACACTAAATAAGTATATTAATAGAACACATCAAAAGTGTTTAAAAAAGAACATATCAAAAATTTAATCTTTCTATTAAGTCACGAATTGTTCTTTTCTTGCTCACGAAAATAATGTTTTAGATTTTAGTTTTGTTTTAGATGAGATAAGATAATGAATGATTTTAGAAGTTACAGCTTCAGATAACCAGCTTTATGTGTTTTGTTCAATGTATACAGTTACCGACTAAATCTCACAAGAAAGTAAACATACTAGAAATTGCATTACTTAATCTCACAAGAAAGTAAACATACTAGAAATTGCATTACTTAAAACGATTAAATATTAATAGCAAATTAGCAAAATATGAAAAACAAAAAAAAGAGTGGAGATGATTGGATATATAGGTCAGTGACAGCTTTATCCCACATGAAAACACAGTACTAAACTCAATCATCAAACCGCATCTAATGTTTCTTTTATTTATTTTGCCGTCAAAGGACAAATATCTTAAATATCTTCGTCCAACGTCGAGATTTCACTTACATATATGTCCTATAAATACCCATTTTCAGGAACCAAACTCTTCACACCCCTCTCTCTCTTTGTTTCTTGAAAAGTTGACGTTCTCTCAGAGTTAACGTGAGAAAGAGATTGAGAGAGGATGGCAATTCTTGAAATCAAAGATGTGGAGAGGGGTGAAACACTAAACAGGGTGGAGGATCTTGAGAATCCATTGTTGAAGAAAGTGGCTGATGATCAAGATCATGAAGAAGAGAGTGAGATTAATGAATCTTACTCTATGGTTCTCTTCAGCACTTTCGTTGCTGTCTGTGGCTCCTTTGAGTTTGGCTCTTGTGTAAGTTTTAGCTTTAAAAAGATACTCTATACCAAATCCGAGGTGTTCCTTTATAAGGCCAAACCTCTGTCCTATATCCTCCTAATACCAACACTAGTTTCTTATAATTTTATTTGTTGGTGAAGGTTGGATACTCAGCTCCTACTCAATCATCTATAAGACATGATCTCAATCTCTCCCTTGCTGAGGTTTGTGTCTAATACTCTGAGCCACAGCCTTTCTTCATTTTCTCTGTTTGGTCAAATAGAATATAGTTTAATTAGTACATATTTGTTTTATTTTAAAATTAGTTTGCATATTTCCTACCTAGAGTTATAGTCCAAACCGTCTAGCTAATTTTCTTTTTGTATTACAATATGAGATCAATTTTTGTGTGTATGTAAAAATACAGTTCTCCATGTTTGGGTCAATATTAACAATCGGTGCAATGCTTGGTGCTGTTATGAGTGGACATATTTCAGATTTGACTGGCCGTAAAGGGGTATGTATATCTTTCTCAATCCCAAACTTAAGTGCCTAAAATTGAAATTTCAATGTTTATACTGTATTTGGAAACTCATTTCAGGCGATGAGAACTTCAGCTTTCTTCTGCATAACTGGTTGGCTCGCTGTCTTCTTCTCCAAGGTACTTAAACTTACACATTCAAACCTATTCTCCAAGTGTAATAGATCCAGTTACTGAATTTGAATACAACCAGTATGAGATTCTAAATATGATGATCATTGTGGTGCAGAGTGCTTTGTTACTCGATGTAGGAAGGTTCTTCACAGGTTATGGCATTGGAGTTTTTTCTTATGTGGTAACTTACTATCTTTTTAACTAAAAAAAAATCTAATACCCCCTTTAAATCATTTCTTTGTTTATCTAGTAGTCATTGATATTATTTAATTTATACTCTGTTTTTGGAAAATTATGATGATATTAATGAACGAAATGTTTATGAAAACTCCCAGGTGCCTGTGTACATTGCTGAGATATCTCCCAAGAATCTACGAGGTGCACTCACAACGTTGAACCAACTCATGATTGTGATCGGCTCATCTGTTTCTTTCTTGATTGGATCTCTCATTTCCTGGAAAATTCTTGCCCTTACCGGTAAATACCTATCAGAGTTTCTAGATAAATCCTCACAAAATCTCCTTTGGAAAAGTGATTAATATACATATGTTTTTTTGGTTTTAAAAAGGACTTGCTCCCTGCATTGTGTTGCTATTTGGATTGTGCTTCATACCCGAGTCTCCCCGTTGGCTGGTAATTCTCTCAATTGAATTTATATGATCCAATCGATATAAACTTCTTGACATGATCTAAAATCTTTCCTGCTTCATGCTTTCAGGCAAAAGCAGGACGAGAGAAAGAGTTTCGTGTAGCGCTACAAAAGCTTAGAGGAAGAGATACGGATATCACAAATGAAGCTGAAGAGATTCAAGCCTCCATTCAATCTCTTGAGATTCTTCCAAAAGCAAGAGTTCAAGATCTTGTCTCCAAGAAATATGGTCGATCTGTCATCGTAAGTGTTTACCTCAGAACAAAGACCAAAAAAAAATATTATCAATCCTTAAAATATTTCAGAAGTTTAAATGTGTTATTCATGTGTGATGTAAATATTCTACAGATTGGTGTTTCCCTAATGGTATTCCAACAGTTTGTGGGGATCAATGGGATTGGATTCTACGCAAGTGAAACGTTTGTAAAAGCCGGTATTTATATGATAAACCTAAATAACTTGCCTTGTTTCACAAGTCAGAACCAAACTTGTTTGAGATTCTAACATGTCTTTTAAAAACTTGCAGGACTTTCGTCTGGCAAAGTCGGAACAATTGCTATCGCTTGTGTTCAGGTAAATAAAAAAAAAACTCTTCGTTTTTTTAATGATCATATTTCAGTTTTGATATTTAATCATTTTTTTAACAGGTGCCAATAACTGTTCTTGGAACAGTCTTGATAGATAAATGTGGAAGAAGGCCACTAATAATGGTAAAAGAAAAATTAATCTACACAAAGCGTTTTCATGGTGAAAGTTAATGTTTACTTATATCTATATAATACAAATTTTGCTGCAGGTTTCAGCTGGTGGTATCTTCTTAGGATGTATACTCACAGGAACATCTTTCTTCCTCAAGGTGCATATCATTAAACCCTAGCTAAACCATGTTTTCACTTTGAACTCTAATAATATTTGTTCATTACATCAATTTTTTTTTTATCATTTTTTCCTTCAGGGACAAAGTCTGCTGCTTGAATGTGTTCCTTTCTTAGCCGTGGGAGGTGTACTTGTAAGTGAAACTTAACCTAATACCAAAAACAGAACTCAAGAGCAGAGTTCTGCAAATAAACATATGTGATACATATTTCATATCTCGCTTTTCACCAATTAGGTCTACGTAGCTGCTTTCTCCATCGGAATGGGACCTGTTCCTTGGGTGATAATGTCTGAGGTATGTACTATTCCTTATTTAAAACAGACCTATAACTTGTGAAACAAGTAACGTTGTTTAGAAGAGTATAAACTAAAGTCTTGCTCTGTCTTTTTGGGATGAAACAAACGCAGATATTTCCAATAAACGTGAAAGGAATCGCAGGAAGCTTAGTAGTACTGGTGAACTGGTCTGGTGCTTGGGCTGTGTCTTACACTTTCAACTTTCTCATGAGCTGGAGCTCTCCAGGTACACACACTCTCAAAGTCTCGTTTGGGAGATCAATGTGCTTGAACCGCAAGAAACTGCATTTTAGAAGAAAATAACTAAACTGAAACAAAGCTATGTTTGTTTGTTTGTGTAGGTACGTTCTACATGTACTCTGCTTTTGCTGCGATGACGATTATCTTCGTGGCGAAGATGGTGCCTGAGACGAAAGGGAAGACACTCGAAGAGATCCAAGCTTCTATTCGAAGAGAGACGTAAGCTGACAGATACAATCAAATTTTTGGGGGAATTTTTATCAAAAGACTCGAGTTTCTTCGGGTGGGTGAGCTCAAGGGTGGAGTAGAGTGAAACTGCATGAGGATTTTGTTTTAATGTTATGAAAATTAGGTTTATTTTGTCACGTTAAGGTTTCCATCAGTTAGGTTTTGATTGATTTATGTGGTGGGATGGGGAATCGTGGAAAGTTATATGAAAGATTTAATGGAATGGACTTGGTATGAAAATCAGTAGCATTTAAATAAAACAATTGATTGATCCCTTAAAAACAGTACATTAATTGATTTCAAGAAGAAAAAATACAATAGTGTAAACACCGACTTTTGAATATTCTGGATGTTATAAATTAGCAACCAAATGCAAATTTAGAGATCAATTAAAAATTAAATTAAATTTCATAAGAATAGAGTTATCCATTTTCTAAGAAGTAAAGTGATTCTTAGATGAAGTGGTGAGATGTTGCAGACTAGCAGTAATAAAAGTGGAAAAAGTTGAAATTTTGTAGAATTGATAAATTTTAAATACAGCACACATCTATATATTTTATATAATAAAGTGTCAATCCTCTATTTATTTTCATACGTTAGAATTTATTTGGTAGTTTATATCTTACTTACGTATATTAATGTATTTGCCAACACCCTTTTTATTCATGCCATCATGGTAAAGTGTTCACATTAAGCCATTAATGTGTTATGTTAATTTGAGTAGAATTTGTTACGTTTATATTTGTCAGAAGTCCCATTTTTTTATAACTCAGGCCATCTTGGTTAAATGGACGGACAAGAATAGTTCACCCACCATGACCACCTTGTCATTTTTCAAAATTTATTGTTTGTGCACATTTTCAGAATACTTTAGATCCCTTCATATTCATAATGATCTAGTGTCGTAGAGGTTAAATATATGTTTTAAAACAAACAATCTTCATCAATGGCGTCTCCAACATCAACGAGTATCTTGTTCCGTATAGTGATCCTGATCACTTCAATGGTGGTTCTCTTCTATGTCTGCCGTCCTCTGTATTGGAAGCTCTCAGCCACCATCCACGATATCGGCCACAACAAGCAATACGGAAGAGAAGGTACACTCTACAAGCTTCTTTTCGCCGGAGCTCGGTGAGGAATTTCTCCGTTGCTTCTGTTGGAAATATATTTTGTAGTAACTGTGTCTGTTGTCTGCGTGTATGTTTGATCGGTAAGCACATTTGAAGTTTCGTATATCAACAAGATGGCAATTCTATTATGATGTTATTAGTAAGGTTGAAATACTTGCTGTGAAATGATAAAAGAGCTTGAGAGTTTCTGTTTTGTATTAGTTTTTGCTTGAAAAACTGCCAAAATTTATTATATGAGTCTCCTTAATGCGCAAACATATTTTTGATGCTTACCATGTGAGGAATATATATGGGACTGTTTGGCATTTTTTACTTTAGAATAACATTGTTAGATCGATCAAAGCAAAGTTGTGGTAGTCACTTGAGGAAATTCAATATGCTTTTTGTAAGTTGTTTGTTTTTGATGTGATCAAGTTGTTTTTGTTTGATCAAACGAGTTTTAGCATCAGAAAAATTGGTCCAGTGTCATGAAATATCAAATTTGAAGTTTAGTTGTGCGAGTTGTAGAATTAGAAAAATTGTAGCATCACGAAAAGAAAAGGAACGAGTTCAAAAACCACTATGAATCATATGACATTCCTTGTTGAAAATAACTTTGGGAGTAAATCTAAAAAGATGTCTGTCATGAAACTCAAAAAAAAAAAAATTGACTCCAAAGACCCAAACCCATACCATACCCATAAATAACTTTTAGCTATGAATATCCGAGTGAATCGTTATCCTCACGATTAAAGGAGGAAATAAAAAGAAAACAAATAGTATAAGCACAAAAGGATAGATGTTTACTGATCCTTTTCGTCCTGGTGGAGACAGATTGAATTTGTTTAGTGCTATTAGCTTAAGCACTTGACTAATCAAGCAATTATTAATTATTTCCATTAATTATCAACTAAGGTCAAGAAGAATCTTTTCTGATTTATGCTTTGCACTTTCTATCGATATGGGCCAAAAACTCAAGTGTGTTTTGACCAAACTGAATCATCAAACTCCAATAAAACAAAGCACGTTACCTTTTGGTGCACACGAGTAATTTTGTTTACATTTTCTTTTGTAAAAAATAATTTTGTTTATATTTCTTACTTTTCTTCTTTCATTTTTGATTTTATAATTATAAAAGTACCAAATGAATTTGTGTCTCAAAGATTTACGACACTTGTTTTTCCATAAAACTTCCTCATAAATATGATTCTCGAAGTCTACTAAATAAAGTTAATAAATCTCCCTACTTTTGAAGTTACGAAGAACTTCGTTGCCACTAGTGGCGAATAGGGATGAAGAGGAGAGAGGCGAGTTAAGTCGCAGACTGATGAAGCGAAGCATTGAGAACGTAGAGCCGAAAAAGACGGACTATTGGGTATGGCATCAAGGTCGGCAACCCAAAAGGATCGCGCTTCAACTGAATGGGATTCGAACCCATGATACAATCTTCTTGTATGTCGATTTAGCAAACCAATACCTTAAGCCAGTCAGCCATCCCTCCAAGTTGTTGATCGAATTTTTTTAAAGAGTCAAGTCTTACTTATTTAAGCTGAAAGGAAAATATTTGGAAAATAAATTTGTAAATAGAATAGGTTTTTGATTCTGTTTATAAATATCCAAATAGGTAAATTAAATTATAAATTTTTAAACGAAAATTTCTTTTTATTGATAAAGAAGAATAAAAAAAGGACAGAGTTCTTTTTTTATAGTTTATCTAAAAGAGGAGATTATATGAAAATTTAATCAATTCTTTCGTTTATTTGGATCACTGGCCATCTGTCGGGAGTTTCGGGTTTAATACCAAAATTTTAGCAACAAATCCAAAAAATCTAAGTGTAGTCTTTGATGTATTGATATTTATTGGAAAGATAGTGTGTGTGAGTTGTTCATTTCAAGAATAGGTTGGATTCGCCGAAAAAATAGAAACGATATGACTTATGATACCGAATCCAGACAGAATGAGAATATACACTTCTGGATGACCGAAGAACCAACATTTTATACTACTTCCAAAAAAAACAACAATGATTTTTTTATACTAGTTGTTTTCCAGAAAAACAAAAGTGAAATTTTGGGAAACAAAATTTTTAATAAATTTTTTTACCAGAATTTTTACACTCTTGTTTTTGTTTTAAAGTTTTTTTTCTCATAAACATGATTAATTTAGTAGGGTGCTCCGTAGTGTTTTTCTAGAATTTTACATTCTGCATTAATGTGTTTATTTTAGAGAACTCACATATGTGTTTGTTTTAATACAAAACACAAAATATTTTTGATAATAAACATTATACAGTAAAAAGTTTATAAACTAATAATGTTGAGACTATGATATTTTATTAATTTAGAAAATATTTTTTAGATTTTTATATTTTAAATATATATTTTCTAAAATAAGGGTTTTTAAAATTTTAGTATATATACATTGATTAGTTTTTTGAAATTCAATATTCACATTAGTTTTATTATATAATTTGGTGTATATAAAATATGTTCCATAAAATTGAAATGTGGTTTATATAATTTTACTAAATCTCATCAAAATATATTAAGTGTTAAAAAAATATAGAGATAATTATATTATGAATATTAACATATAATATAGAGTCAATTTGGCAAATATCCTAAAACTATATCAATATTAGCTATCTACCTATATA